CTTCAATGCTTATCTCCATATCTTGACTGCCCAACAGTTTTGACCTTATCTTCGATTTGTATATCTTGGGGTGGTTTACTAATTTTGAGATCTTCCCTTCAGACTCGCATTGGCTACTTTAGTGTTTTGTCGCATTATTTAGGTGTTTGCTCATCATCTTCATGCTCTGGGAAGCGATTTCATTATTACATGGATAATTAGCTCCTTCTGGCTCCTTCCAAACAGGAATCTGCGACTAATATCCACCAACTCCTTCCTGTAGTAGTTTGAGCGGGTTGGTTGATCAAACTGGAGAAGTAGTTCCTTCGACCTACAAAATACTTGGTCCAACTAGGGGTCTTTTTCAACACCAATATCAATCATGCTATGCCTTCTCCTTCAGTCCATCAAACTTTTAGTTCACAGAGCCCTCATGACTTGGTCACTTAATGCTCACGAGGTTCTAACACTTTTGGGGATATGATCCTCTATGACTCCACTTATCCCTTTCAGTTGTACCCACATGAGATCCCTGCAATGGATGCTTCATGACCGATGGAACATTTCTCAAAATTCTCTTTTTACCATCATCTCCATTCTTTCTTCCATGCGAGAGGATCTGCACTGGTGGCTGGACAAAGCTCATATATTGATGGGCATGGCACTTCTTCCCCCACATCTGGATCTACATTATTCACAGATGCATCCCTTCAAGGTTGGGGGGCATGGATCAATCACCAGGAAACTTCGAGCTTCTGGCAGTACATCGGGCCTTTCATCATTTCCTTCTTTTCATCCATCATTGTCTGGTGATAGTTCATTCGGATAACTCTACAGTGGTGGCACATGTCAACTGCCAGGGGATCAACTGGTCAAAAAGACTTGTTTTCAGATGTTGGAGCTTTTATACTGGGCTCATGCACATCATATTCATCTTATTGCAAGCCATATTCCTGGTGCTTTCAATCTTGTTTTAGTTTGTCTTTTGTGACCAGATCAGATCTATCCTACAAAGAGGGCATTGGATCTTCTCATTTTCTGGGACCTTTGCTATCATTGGATTTCTCCCCAATTAGATGCTTTTGCCATGAGCCTCAATTCCAAGTTGTCCCTCATTTGGTCACCTGTAACGCATCCCCATGCTTTGGCGGTCAATGCTTTCAGCCAGGATTGGTCACACAAATACCTGTATGTGGACCCTTCAATCCATTTGCTGTATTAGG